GTGTAGGTCAGGGGCGATTCATCGACGTAATCAATTAAGTAAATACGTCATCTCGTATAACTTTCTGCAGTCTGTGAATCGTTTCAGTTGATTTCTGATGCACTGATGCAAAAATACATTTGATTATCATACTGCATTACTCAATATATGTCAGAAACATTTAAAGTTTTAAGTAAAGTAGTCTAATTAATGTCTGATATTGTTTTATCACATCAAGAACATCTTTGTATCAGAATCAGAATACTTCAGATCCCTGAGGGAAAATATAGATAGAATAGAATAATGAGTAGAGAAAATAAGTATAAAAATATAAGAATAAATGAACATAAATATTGATATTTACAGTATTATACAATATCAACAGAAGTGTAATGATAAAAAAAAAGCGATAAATAGAGTAGTGTTATACAGTATTTACTGAAGTGTAATCTATTAACACTTTGAAGTCTTTTTATTCTCTTATCAATAATCAGATGCCTTAATGGGTTAATTTGTGGACCAGTTTTGTTATCCATACATTTGCTCCCCCTTGGGAGATGTAATATGCAGACATGGTATTTCTTTCAATTCTTATGCAGATGACACAATTGTATCTCCCTGTGAAGCCCACTGACCTCAAAGTTCTCTACAGGACTGACTGGCTGATGTAAAAAAATGTTAAATTGTCAGATAATTCCAACAAAAAAGAAATCCTTGTTATTGGAACCCCAACATGTTGTAAACCAGTTACTGCCATCTACTGGTCGCCTTTCACAATATATCAAGCCTGTTGCAAGAAATCTTGGCGTCTTGATAGCAATTTATGTTTTGAGTTAAGTTTGTTCTGTCGTGTTTTTGCCACCTATAAAATATTGCAAAACTAAAATCTGTTTTAAATATCTGAGATGCAGAACCTGTTGTGCAGCTTTTATTTCTTCACGTTCGGATTATTGCAACAGCTTTTTCTCCTGTATTCATCAAAAGAATCTACAGACTGTGCAGAACTAAGCAGCTTGGATTTTAACAAGAACCAAAAGGGACGATCACATCACACCTGGTTTGGCCTTTTTACACTGGCTCCTTTATATTTAGATTCACTCATTTAGCTGTAAATAATAATAGTGTCTTGTATTATAACGTGGCAGATGTGTCCTGATGTTGTGACACGTCTTTGTCATTGAATTTGTTCTCATTTTATCTTCTCTTACATCCTGCGTAGTTAATGCTGTATTTTTACTGTTAATTTTATTTTATTTTATTATGCTCTGAAGTATTTTATCACTCACTGTGGTATTTGATGTCATCTCTCTCTCTCTCTGTGTTTTTTGTGAATCACTTTGTACTTTGTTTAATAAACTATGAATAAAGTTTATTATTGTTTATATTGTGCTTTTTTTACTCAAAAACTTATTGTATGAGCTCTTGTCAATGAGGGCTACAGGCCATAAATAGATAAATAAATAAAATATGTAATGTGCAAAAGAACTTAAACCTATTATGTGATGATATATGTATTATGATGGATTTACATTAAACTATAATGTGCTGGTCATTTTTGATGGGAACACTAACTAATAACTAATGAACATGAAATAAACACAACGGCAAGGATAATTACACTCTATCTCATTTTCATCATTCCTTCTTTACCTGATTTTAATTAATTTAAAATACGTATTGTATGCTTTTACGTGGTGATGGCGCAATGGATACAATGCCTGCCTTTGATGTGAGAGACCCGGGTTCAATCCCCGACTGTGACCGATCCACCATTGTGTCCCTGAGCAAGACACTTAACCCCTCGTTGCTCCAGAGGCGCGTGACCTCTGACGTGTATAGCAATTGTAAGTCGCTTTGGATAAAGTGTCATGTAAATGTTTTTATCTTTAAGGGAAGAGAGTGAAAATACCCCAAAGGAAATAAAACCTAACTGGTTTAATCTCAGTATCCTGTCCACCTACAGTCCAAAGCTGTCTGGTTGTTACAGTTTGCATGTTCATTTATCTGTTTAATACGCTCTACATAGAATAAAAAGTAATCTGATCAAATTTACCTTTAAAAGCTGAGAGACCCACCTGAATGAGTTCCTACACCAGTGGCCGATGTTTGTCCTCTGCAGCCAAACCTCAAATATGGGAAGTGATAACAAGCAGCAGGCTGATGATGATCTACAGCTGCTCTTCTAAGGAAAAGGAGTGACATGAATATGGAAATGATGCATCACAGAAATAGTGAACATCAGCAGGAAAAAGAACTGTCACACTCCTCAACATTTATTTTACTGGGAAATGTGCATGTGAGCCGCTCACAATAACTGGCCACAGTGCTGACACACCTGCTGATGTTTTCTTCTGCTTTTACTTATTTCTCTTCCTGAGAAATCAGGATTTAAAAAATCTAATCAAACTTTTAAAATCTGTCTTAATAGCGATGCTTATTATATTTCATAAACGGCTCCCTGATGACACAGAGGAGGTTCTTTGGTGCTGATGTGAGCTACTTACTGCAGCCACTGAATCAGGTTTGGATCCAGATCCTTCAGTGACTTGAGGTACAGGAGCTTTGTTCTGGGACGCTGTGCTGTCTTCTGCACTCTTTGCTCCACCTGTTTAATGTCCCTTTGGAGGTGGAGGCTTGTCTGTCTGATGAATCCAACTGTTGAACCATCTGAATATTTTATCTTCATTTGCAGAATCTGCACTCTGCTTCCTTCACACTTATTGAGACAACATTTTAACATAAAGGTGAACTGTTAACCACCATTTTAGCATGAAAATGGATCAGGAGAAACTGCAGGCCGACACATTCACTCTGTCTAACAACACAAACATACAGCTTGGTGAACTGAAATGTCACCATGTTCAAGCAGTGACTGAGAAACACTGAGTCTCTTCTTTCACTCCAAACATCCAGATAAATGCTTAAATGCATTTAGACTCTGTGCACCTACACAGCCTTTACAGGAGGGATCATTAACTGTCTACGACTTCTCTTTGGTTAAACACATCTTTCCCTCTGGGAGAAATTTATCAATAATCATATTGTCACAACACATGAAACTCTCTTTAAAATCTCAGCTGTCAGCATTTACTGGAGAAATATCAACATCAGAAAATGCTAGCAGAGGACAAAACTGAGAATTTAAATGAATATGCAACTGTAACATGGCTGCCCTCATTTCTTTAGAAGCAGGTTTGCATGCAAAGCACGAGGCAGCTTTGAACTGGAGGTGTACAGCATACTGTGGTTAAACCAGTTACTGCTTCAGTTCTGACATGTCCATCCATCCATCGTCAACCGCTTATCCTGCGTACAGGGTCGCGAGGGGCTGGAGCCAATCCCAGCTGACATCGGGCGAAAGGCGGGGTCCACCCTGGACAGGTCGCCAGTCCATCAATTAGCCTAGCCTGCATGTCTTTGGACGGTGGAAGGAAGCCGGAGCACCCGGAGAGAAAGTAGGAAATATAAATATTTTATTGTGTAACAAGAGACAGCAGAGGAAAAAAACAATCATAGAAGGTAGAATATTTGGAATAAAGAACATGAGGTAAAGACAGAAAGAAAAAAGAAGAGGTTTGAGGTTTGAGTCTGTAGATCAAGAAAATGCTCAAAAAGTTCCTACTTTATATCTTTTTACTTTATTTTGTATTTCCGTTATTAATTTGCTTATTTTGCTGATTAAATTTTACAACCTTTAAAATACATCCGATTCATGTAATAGGTCTGTAACATGCAGTTATCACTAATACGCCAAATATTAAACTTATATTAAATTAAAATGTCATTTTTTCTTATTTGGGTAAAAAAAAAAAAACACAGTTTTGGGTAACATACATTAGTAAACAACTAAATTAAAATGTGTGTGAGAAAGTACAAAGTGCTAAAGACGTGATGAGATGCTCTCCCTGTGTTAACATCCAACAACAGTCAAATAAAGATTTAGGAAGAAGACGGCGAGGCGGCTAGAATGAGCTCAGTTCATCTATTTTATTTAAAGAAAGACTCATTGAGATAAAAATCCCTTATTCAAAGGCATCCTGGCCAAGAAAGGCAGCAGGACAAACAAACGACACAATAAAATAAAATCATCTTCACGTATACCTATGCACTCATTGTCCACTTTATTAGGTACACCTTGCTAGTACCGGCTTGGATCCGCTGTTGCCTTCAGAACGGTCTTACTTCTTCGTGACATACTTTCAACAAGGTGTTGTTGCATTTTCGTCCACACAACTGCTGCTCACTGGATATTTTCTCTTTTTCGGACCTTTCTCTGTAAACCCTAGAGATGGTTGAGTGTGAAAATCCCAGTAGATCAGCAGATTCTAAAATACTCAGACCCGTCTGGCACCAACAACCATGCTATGTTCAAAGTTCCTGATATCTCCTTTCTTCCCCATTCTGATGCTCAGTTTGAGCTTCAGCAGGTTGTCTTGACCACGTCTACAAGCCTAAATACACTGAGCTGCTGCCATGTGTGCAGGTGTACCTAATAAAGTGGCCTGTGTGTGTATACTGTACATACTGTATGCAACAGTAACAGCCCACACATCAAAACCAGACTTCATCATGCAGATAAAATACACTAATGAAATGCTTACTCATTTAAAAACATTCATCTAAAGGAACCTCAAGAATTCAAATAATCTAAAATAATATCTGCTTTGCTTCTGGGATTAAAGGAGAATAATGACAGACATCAACTTCCAGCTCCAAACTAATAAAACACATTTTATTTCCATGTGTTGAAGCCATCACAGTGAACCAGAGCAAGTTGACCAAAACATTTCCCAGCAGCCACTTCTCCCACAGCAGAGTCCAAACAGTGCTTCCTGTTCTCTACAGTTAGGTGTCTTATTGGAAATGGTCTCAGTAGATGACAGGATCTGTCTCGTCTCTATCCTTTCTATTGGCCTCCATTTCTCCTCCTGTTTCCTCCCCTTTCTCTCTCTCCCTCTTTCTCTGCCTACATGAAGCTGACTGTGGAAATGTTGTCATCATTCATACTATGGACTGCTGATATCATTGCTGTCCATTCTGCAGCAACACACAGAGGCCAAAAGCTTGTCTATGAACCCTTTCCTCATGAAGACATACAGGACAAGTCTGCAAGAGGACTGAACCTAAGAAACATGAAAGACAGGTTGTGAGGTTCTCGTCAACTTTTGTTTTAGGTGCCAAATCATGAAGGGCAGGAACAGCAGGTGTAAATAAGCAGCAACAGAACCAAAACTCCCATAGTTCGACGTTTTTCATCAGAGGGGACCGAGATGGAAGCAGACAGGGCTTTGAGGGTCCCAACCAGGAGAATATTAACAGCGGAAGGGAAGGAGGAGGAGGATGGCGAACATTATGTATGTCCCCAGATTTTCAACAAAGACATAGAAACAGACGCCACAGACACCAGAAAGGACCCAGACCAGGACACAGACCACCACAGAGGTCTTGATGGATAGTCTGAAGCGGTACCACAGTGGGTGGGCGATGACCAAATACCTGTAATACAAGATGGACACAAAGTCTTTGAGGAGCTTCAGAGTTATAAACTAATATAATGTTCAGACACAGAAGGAGCTCCACACATACTGGATAGACAGACAGATACCTTTCCAGGGAGCAGACCATGAAGCCAACACTGGCAATCAGAGAAGTGAGGTAAATATAAAAGAAGATGAGATATCCTCCATCCTCAGTGTGCCACCTGAACGATCATGCAGCAGAACTGAATCAGGTCGGTAATGAGAGGTTGATGAGGTAGATGGGAGCAACATGATCTCTTCTCACCTGCAGGAAAACATTGGTAAAAGTCAACAAGCAGTTGGAAACATGTTGTGAAGTCCACCTCCTCCCAAATCTGTCATCTTGCTCTGCCCAGCAGCTGCAGTCAGAGCCATTTCTGACTTTTTCATCCAACAGAAATCTCAGATATGACCCACTGGCCAATCACTGCAGGAACAAGACTAAGGGCCAGATTTCCTGCAGCTTCTGCAGCAGTTTTTCAGCCACAGATATGAAGCGTTCTGGCTCAAACACATGACCTGGATTTATCCAGACTGGAGTTGCAGTTTGAGGCTCATGTTTGTGTTTGTAAGGTGAGAATCTCTCCTCCTTGAATCAGCATTTCAGGGAGGATCGCACAAATAAGAAGAGGAGCCATGTTAACAGAAGGTGGGAGTGAGCTGGGAAAGTCTGAGTTTTAGTTTCCTGAACAGATGATCAGAATTAGTTCAATCAACTCAGGTATGTTGAACCTGATGGAAGCGCCTGCGTGGGGATGAAAAAAAATCATCTATTGAGCTCTGATACTACGTGGGTAAATAACGAGCGGAGCCCCCATTTTAATCCAGTGGTGCTGTAGAAACATGGACCATGACAAAGTCTTTAAAAACAGGAGTGGAGGAAGGATCAATACGTTGTGTCACATTTTATACAGCGTTGCTCATTCATCATTTAGCAGACTGGAATTTCATCAATAAATGATAAAGTGCTGAAATTCTCCTTTAGCCTATTAGGCTACTTCCAGTTTTTAAATAGGTTGTGTTCAGCTGGAACCTGACGGGACAAAAGGCCGGTGCCTGAAGATGAAACATGGATCAAATATAAGACGCAGTTTTCTCGTGGACCTGTGATTGTAAAGTCACAGTCCGACCCAGCAGGTTAGCCTATTAATGATTTTCTTGCAGCTGAAAATCTGTGTAGGTTCAAACTGACTGTTTTGACGTCTATTTTACTTTAATAAAATCTGGCTCATTTTGTATTTTATGAAATGCTGTCACACACATTCAGACTCTCAGCAGCTAATAATGAAAAACTCACTTATAAAGTACATGAATAGTTTCAGCTGCACCGCAGTCATCCTCACTCAGAAATAGTCACATTATCTCCAGCATGATAACTAGATAGGAATGCTCCGATCAGTGTGACTATAGTATGAAAGATTAGGCCTCTTGTTCACTGATCAGTTTTAAACAGATTAGTTTAAACAGTGATCACTATGAAGCTCACAGTAAGTGTTTCAGAGCATCTGAACCTGACAGCTGCCTTGACGTCCAGAGTCACTGTGTCATAAAGGACAGTGCAGCCTATAGATTCTATTCTGTGCTGATGTCCAAAGATAATCCTCTGTCCATACATCGATGACAGATTGATCATAAAAGTGGTCATGTCCAAGATCATGTTTGGGTAACAAACTAATAGCTTATCTAACTGGGATTTTGATGTTTCTAACGCCGTACTAGCGTTCCAGCATGTGCTTTGATATCGACAGTCTGAATGAGGAAATGTCAGACGGCGCTTCAGGCTCCGCAGGAGGAGTCAGAGAGAAACTCAGCGTTAGTTGAAGTCAACCTCCTTCTGAGGAGGTCAGGTTCGCAGCGTAAGTTTAGAGTTTATCTGATCTCGGTCTGTGAAACTGAAAACCCAGAGTTTCCCTCATCTAAGGCTGAACAAACTCAGAGTTTTCACTAAACCCACTTTCTGAATCAGGGCCCTGTTTAAACCTGCTTTAAATCTGTAATCGACTAGCCTAACCTGTTTTCTGTCTTGTTTCCATCCTGTTTTTATGCTGTTTTGCTTCGTTATCTAGTTGTTTGTTATCTCTAGTTTCTCTATTGTGGTTTATATGCTGATTTTGTTGTCTTTGTTTTGTCATGTAAAGGGCATTTGAGTACCTTTTAAAGCGTTATAGAAATAAAATGTAGTATCATTATTATAATTAAATCATTGGACAAATGAACATTTATGACCTGATGATGGCGTTAAATGAAAAGTCGGGGGATCACGAGTGTTAGTACGATTCATCCTCCATGAATGTCTCTATCATTTTTTTGTTAATCCATCAAATAGTTTTCAAAAAACAAAATACAAAATTAATGTCTCCAGATTTCACAATTTCCTCTCAAATACTGCTGCTCAAACTGCTCTGACTGTTTGATGTTTGTCTTGAGCTGTAACTAAATGGTGCCATTAACCTCAACAGTTTAAGAGAAGGCTGGATGGAGCCACACATGGAAACTGCATCTGTTTAGGGTCCAATCAGCTTCATGTACATTTTATCTATGGAATCAACCCTGACACCTAGCCCCCAAACCAGATCCAGATCCTTTACAGACAGACAGACTGTAGGACAGACACACGACACAGACAGGAAATAAATAACTCTCAGTCAGAATGTACATACCATAGAATAAAGAGCATAGATGGCCACCAGGGTCAGAGGAAGGCCGACAGCAACGATTACGTATGTCACCACATTCGGGATGAAATCAGGGTTGTTGTTATAGTCATCGAGCTCAGTGTAGTCGATGCAAGGATAGTAGTCAGAGGTGATGTTCCAGTAATCAAAGCTTTGGTTCAGTGAGTTAAAGTAAAATTCTTCCATTCTTCAGAGTGAAACCTGTTTGAGAGATCAGGTTATTAAAGGGAGCAGGTTTTTAATATCTACCTAACATTGTTCAGTGACATCACTAAAGCTGTGAGGTGAAGTTCACACAAACACAGTGTCCTATAGTTTACCCACAATCATATCAAATCACAAACTGCTGTCTTTCAGTTTTATATTCCTGCACATCCATCTTCATGACTGTTTAAAGTTCTTATCATCTCTACATATAAAAGTAATGTCACAAACTTTACTTAAACTTTACCTTTGAAAGCTCTGATACCCCAATTGAAAGAGTTCCCTACTGCAAAGTCTGATGTGTTGTCCTCTGCAGCTAAACAGTCTACAGTAAATGTCGTAAGTGATCACATGCAGTAGGTTCCTGTTAATCTGCACTTCCTCTTCTGAAGATATGAGAAAGGCACAAATATGCTTTATCCTGTTCTGTGGTCCTGAGATGGCTGCCTGTCGTCACCTCAGCTGAAAGTTTAGATGAGCTGCTTTGAGTATCAAACTCTTCCTGTAGGCTTGAAATGAAAGATGGACTCTGCTTGTCTTCAAAACCATTGAATGGTTTCCAAAGTGAACTGCTTTACCAGCACGGCAGCAAAATCCACTCTCTGTTAGTCGTGCTTAGTGTGTTTCAAAATCTGTGAATCACATTCTTCTAAAAAAGCTGGTACTATTTTTTACATGCCAACATCATATTTAGGGAATGAGAGAAGAACAAATTAAACTCAGTGTAATTGGTCTGACCCAGTATGTACTGTACAGCTACCATCCAAGTTCTCTGATTGTTTTAATGATAGTGTTGGACCTCTTGCCTTATGATTCAAATTTCAGTTCAATTCTATTTATATAGCCCCACTTCAAACAAAAGTTGTCTGATTGAATTTTTCATGTGGAGCGGGTCTAGGCCGTCCTCTCTGTAATATTATTAACACTTCCCACCATGAGCAAACACCTGCTGACAGATGAACTAGCACATGAGGAAGAAAGTGATATTGATTCTGTTCATAAATATTCTATTTCTGATAACGCTTTACTAATTAATGATACTAAATGAGCCACGCTTAGAGGCAAAGAAACCTCGAGCTGAACTGTGACTCAGGATCAACGGCCATCTGCCTCAACATGTTACAGACAAATACAGTCTGACTTTCTGGGTTTCTCATTTGTTCCCCTTTAATGTTTCTCTACAGTGAATATAGTAAGTAAAAAGATGCAGCATGTTCCTGTTAATCTGCACTTCCTCTTCTGAAGATATGAGAAAGGCACAAATATGCATTATTCTGTTCTGTGGTCTTGAGATGGCTGCCTGTCGTCACCTCAGCTGTAAGTTTAGATGAGCTGCTTTGAGTCTCAAACTCTTCCTGTAGGCTTGAAATGAAAGATGGACTGCTTGTCTTAAAATAATGACATGGTTTCCAACGTGAACTGCTTTACCAGCACGGCAGCAAAATCCACTCTCTGTTACACTTGTGTGTTTCAAAATTTGTGAATCACAGTTTTCTAAAAAGCTCCACAGCTGATCCCAATCACCTCCTCCACTCAGACGCTCCTGTTCTCCTGCCATTTGTCACCTGATGGTTTCGTTTACTCTCTCTGCCCAGAAAACTAGTTTGTCTTTTGTATTCTCCAGTACTCTCTCACTGTATCGCTCACGTGCCTTTTTTGTCTCCTCGGCTCCTGTTCCATATTCTGCACCCCAGACTCCTCAGACCACCTCAGACCACTACTCCTCTTCAGTCAGCGAGCCAGCCTCCCACCATCGTCAGCCACGCTCCCCTTTCCTCTCCAGCCTCGTTGTGTTGCTCATTAAAATACATTGTTCTCAACAAACTTCAGAGTGTGTGTCTGCTCCTGGGTCCTCTGAAACACAAACTTAACCGTCTGCCCATCTACACCGCTACACAGGTACGTTGTGTTTGCTAACAGGCTGGACTCAAACGCAGGACTTGTTGTACCGTAAGTCTTTGCTGCAAACCAGGTGATAATGGGAGAATGAATGTGGTGGCAGGGGAATCCAGAGGAGGCGGAGAGAGAGTGGAGGTGTAGGTGTGGACAAATCAACTGTGAGGATGTGAGATTGCAAAGAAGTATTTTCTTTTGGGGAACATGCCCAATTGCCAGAATGACTATAATATGAAAAGCCTAAATAATAAGTTAGCATAATAATGTCACTTAATTATGGGGCACAACTGACATATTTAGGCAGATTATGACAACGTTTTGTGAGTTTCCTGCTGTGAAAGTCAGACAAACACACCTGTAAACATGTTAGTTAGTTAGTTAGTAACTATGTTGGTCCAAACCACGGTGGTACCAACAAGGTACGACAGTTTTGGGAAACGGTCTCACTTCAGATGTTGGTTAGTTTAACAATACATCGTACCAACATATTTCAATGCTACCTTCCGTGGTTGTTTGGGAAACGCACCCCTGATCAATCCTGAGCTCCATCAGAGCATCTAAACATTTCAGAGGCTAAAAGTTGAATTCTGTTTCCTCTGCAGAGTTTACTCTGTCTGTCCTGTCAAGTTTTTTACTACATTTTTTTTGTTTTGCGGCTTAAATGTCCCACTGTATCATTAATGTGCCAATGGAAACCTTTTATTGACTGACAGCAGCCTCTCTAAACATAAGAGTAAACCGTTAAAGAAAACACTCGTCAATACAACACAATTATGAAACCACCTGGGAAGCTACAAGGACCGGTAGAGCTGGGATAAATTTGAGAAAACAATTAGTTGGGCGAGGTGCTGAGGGATGATTTATGCCTACATGAATATTCAGATATTGTCAGAGATGATCAGCACATCGCACCAATGCAGCTCCTATAATCATTACAAAACAAGTGCAAACAGCTGCTGACATCAAATTATTAGGCTGTAATATCAACTAGAGCACCCTCTGAATTCAGCACTAAGCTGCTGTATTTTTACTATTGTCATATAGTAACAGTAGTGCCCTTTTTGTAGTCTGCAGAAGTCATTCCAACAGTATTGTCCTGTGATGACAGTTGTTGGCTACATTTCAGATACATTTAGCCAAATGTTGTGAAGATTAGTATACCAAGATTTCCCTGTTTACACTACCTGATCAGAGCTCGAGTGTCTGAATCTCTTATTTAATGCAATTTTAGTGAGCCAAGCAGTGGGGAGAAAGACAATGTCTGTAGTGTGATCTTCGACCAAACAGTGCTTTGCCCACTGCAGGTTTTATTTGGGGACTGTCACCTTTTTCTAGGAAAAACGCCTAAAATGACAAACCCAGTAATCAGTAATAACTCCTCAACCATTAGGCCTAGATGCATAATTCTGGTCTCCTTTTAAAGATCAGAAGCTAAGGAATATAAATCCATTGGTAACTGACATATTTATTTTACCATTACAGACTAAATGGAGATACAATAAAGAAAAGTATGATATTTTCATCCTCGCCTGCAAGCCATAGTTTAATGCAATAAACCATCAAAACCATCTTCAAACACATGATAATGCAACTGAATGTCTTCTAATACAGCTGGAATGCAACTGTAACTGTAAATTTGATGAAAATAAACTAAAATACAAAACATCAATTTAAAAAAATATATACCAGGCGAATGTCATATTTTGGCAATATTTACTGTTGAAATGTTTATTTTTATTGGGAGTTATCTTTTTAGCAGTTTGCTAGTTTCCAAAGTGTCCCCTGCAGAAAGCCAAGGTATTTAAAGAAACAGTCTGACAGTTTGGGAAATCTGCTTGTTCTTGTTGGATCTCAGCTAATAATGAGCTAAAGTTAAAAAGGGGAAACATACAGCAGACTTTACTAACTTCTACTGAACATGTTGGTCTGATCTGTTGTGACTGTCCCTGTCACACTTTATCATTTCTGCCCCAAATTATTATCTAAAAAGTCTGAAAACTTTAAGAGTTGTGAGGAAACCTCACTTGGTCAGAAAGTGCAGGATGCCTCCCTGCTAACAGCAGGTTGGGCTTTATGTTCATATAGACAATAGAGATTTGTCAACCAGCAGAGATTTTGTTGAACCTTCATTTGTCAGCTTTTAATTCACTGAGTTGGTCAAAGACAAACATTCACAGTTTGGTCTACAAACTGATTTTTATGGATTTCCAGAAAATGTACAATTTCATAGAAACTGACATAAATTGTGGTTTAAGATTTTATCCATATTGCCAAAAACACAACAGCTGCTGCAAAACAGCTGCTCTGAATCCCATCCTAAACAGCAGCATGCCTACCACTAAAACAGCAGAAATTACACACGTTTTTTCTTATTTACTAACTTATACAAGTACTTATACTTACACAAAATAACAAAAATACAAAACAAACATAGCTTTGGGTAAACATACATTAGAAAAAACTAAATTAAAATGTGTGTGAGAAAGTACAAAGTGCTAAAGACGTGTTGAGATGCTCTCCCTGAGTTAAACATCCAAACAACAGTCCAAATAAAGATTTAGGAAGAAGACAGCGAGGCGGCTAGAATGAGCTCAGTTCATCTAAAATAATATCTGCTTTGCTTCTGGGATTAAAGGAGAATAATGACAGACATCAACTTCCAGCTCCAAACTAATAAAACACATTTTATTTCCATGTGTTGAAGCCATCACAGTGAACCAGAGCAAGACACATTGTCTGTAATATGTCAATGTGTTTCTGGTGTCTAACAAGAATTGTATTTTATTGTTATACTGTGAAGCACCTTGTGATTTTATCTGTAAAAAATGCTATATAAATAAATTTTACTTACTTACACAGCCTGTCTCCACCTGTGTCTGTGGACAGAGACAAGGTTTTTTATCATTATACAGCACAAAGCTGCATAACAAAACACAATTTGTAGTTCCTTTGTGCTACACACACAACATGTAATTAAGTGTAGGCCTATATTAAAATATGGTAACATAAAATACAACAATACAGTTATTTATATACTATGGCTGTGTTTGAAACGGAGGGCAGCTGCCTCAGAAGGCATCACTTTCAAGCGAAGTCTCTGTTAACAGTAGTTTCGGACAGCCTTCTAGGGCTGCACTAACAGCATCATGTGACGTCAGCACGCCATCTTCTGTTTCTTCTGGCTGTTAAAAGACGCTAGCCTTATCGTCAGCTAACTAGATATTTAAAAGCCATATGGCTAACAGACGCCTCAGAAATCATACTGAACAAACTTGGTTGGTTACAGTCACGGGCTACTATGATAGTTCAGTGTTTAGTTCTCACTAACTTTTCATAAATCGAAGCGAGAAAACTACTAAAAACCTTTAAAAATGTATATTTGTGTACAAATTCCACTTGTTTGTCCGCCATCTTGACCAGTTTTCAAAAGCTACGCCGGCTGCAACCGCGCTGGTTTATGGGTAAAGGCAGCATCAAGTCACCATCGGCTGTTACGGGGGCAGTTTGAAGGCATCTTAAACAACAGGAAGAGATCGTTGGAGCCGTTTCGAACAACACTCGATGCCTCGCTGTCCTGTCCGAGCCCGTTTTCAACACAGAGAGTCCATCTTGACTGTGTTCATGCATCATCAATGTACCAAACATCATCAATGTAGAAAACACTTCCTCTCATCTTGCCAGACTCTTGCTCTGACAGCTTGGAACATGGACCACCTGCTGAGTGCTTGATCCGGGATGTTGATGAGGCAGGTCACTGCAGCGCTTGTAGAAGCAGCAGTCGGTAGCTCCTTCAAACTTCACTACACTTGTTTTTTTATCTGTTTTTTCCGGCTTTATTGCCAAAACATGCGTTACCTCTGACATAAATCCAGTCATTGGAAGATGAAGACGTTTTTTTAGGATTAAAGAGCAGCAGACCACGATCCACCCGGCAAAACAACTGGACCAGGCACCACGGCGGCTGGAGAGAGCCAGGAGAGGAGGGTTAGGTTCTGCTACTAAATCCAGTCT